GCTTGCGCTCTGCTAGGACTGCTTCTGCGCTCGGTATTCGGCTGGACTCAGCAGAGAGAGGCATTTCGGCATGGGGCTTCGGTGGCCTGGTCAGTGGTCGGCTTTTGATACCAGTTGGACAGGCCTCACTAGCGTGGAAGAAGCCATCGTCCGCGCCTTGAACGGTTTGAAGCTTCGTAAGTAGGGTTGCGAAAGAGTCATGTGGATGCAGTAGTAGCTTCAGACGGCGCCTTCCAGATCCGACTGAATTGCACAGGCAGCACTGGATGCGAACATGCAGGCTTCGTTTTCGGGAGGGCTGGGGGACTTCAGAAATGAGCAGAAGCTCGTGGGGTCACGGACTGGCCAGCTGCCAGGCCACACTCCTGCAGTACGACAAAGAGCAGGTGCTTGCAGTCACTTGCGGCGATTGTCTTCGTAGTAAAGACAGCAAAGGTATTTGCCGACGCGTATTACAGGCATTCGTCTTGAAATGTGCTGTGATTCAAATCAGCGGCGGCTCTCCCTGATGCAGGCTTCAGAGGAGTCCAAGCAGATGAATGCCCTTGAACGCCTTGCACACCATGTGCACCGTATCCGTGAGGAGCGACAGGGGGCCCTGACTTGCCCGACCAGAACAGTTTGTTGGCTGTCGGTATATTCTGCACGGAGCTCTTTTTTTGGTTGTCTTGGAGATTTCGATCGGACCTCTGCATCTCCAATGCAAGGAGCTCGTCGAGCTTGCAGCCAAGAACCATGCTGAAGCCGCTCGTCAGCTGGTACATCTTACCTCAACGAGTTCAGAGATTTCAGTGATGTCATTGTCCACACCGTCCGAGGCCACTGAAGGCATCAGCAAAGTCGCAGCTGCAGCTGGGGCGAACAGGGACAAATTGCAGTTTTGCTCTCAGAATTAGCACATCGTGTCTTGCACACGTTAGCAAGCAGGTTGCCATTGATGATTCAAGCAAAGGGCCCAAAACAGCCGTAAGGCATGTTGAGGAGGCAAATGTTTTGACACTTGCAAGGCTTCATGACGTGCACCTGGAAACGCTTGACGGGCGCACCATGGCGTTGGAGCGAGGTCTGGAGCAGGCCAGACTGAAGGTAAATTTAGCATGTTGCTGTACCCGAGCGCCTGCAACCACCAGAGCATACCAGAACTATGTACTATGACCGACCCCTGCTGGAAGACTTTCACCCGGCCTGCTGCAGACCAAAGCCCATTGCAGTGATCTCGAACATGCTCTGGCACCTGGGCAGGGAAGTTAGAGAGCCGATTGTCGTGCATGCTCCACTGACACTGCTACGCGGAACGAACCTGCTGGGCATTGGTGTCAGATGGCCTGGAAGCCTGGCAATCTCGAAAGCGCCCCGACACTCCAAGGATTCTTATGGCACGCGCATGCGATCTGCAGAAGACGAAATCAGGCGGCAACGCCATTGTGGATGTTGTGGTGGTTGGCAGGTCGTTTCCGCTGTAGCATGGGAGAGATTCTGATTCATGATCACTTGTTGTGTCATCCCACGCGCTTAAGGAGAAGGCATCTGCTTCAGACAAGTTTCGACTGTGCAGAGCAAGTTACCCGGGCGGCACGGCAGGGATTTGATCTACTGCAAAGATCAGATGGCTGCAGATGTGGACGAGCTGCAAGACTCGTCCCAAAAGGCCAGACGACAATAAGCTGTTGACGTGTTGGATGGCTCTGCAAACACTTCGGCTGGACGGTTGGACATCCTTTCGCTTCCTGAGATCATGGACTGTCACGGTACAGGTCAAAACTCGTCTCCGAATAGCTGAAGATGGCCTGCAGGTGCCAGCGAGTAGATGGGTAGGTTGAGGATTGCTTTCTTTTACCACATGCCGTCGTGAGAGTCCGGCATTGAAGGACTTGAGGAGCCACAGGCAATGTCAATGTAGCTAGCTGAAACGACTGAGGCTTCGACCATGTAAATTACGGCTGTTGTTGTATCTGCTCATGCCTATTCCAAGGCGGCGCAAGCCGACGTCCGCAGCCAGGCTCCTGACTGGCATGTTGTGGTTGCTCCCCCTTGCATTGCATTCCACTCCTGGTTCTGATGCGACCTGACATGTTATAGTGTTAGATGCCAGCAGCAGTCCAGACTCTCCAGCCGTAGCCCTTTGCCGTGCAGGGGAGCGCCATCGCACGAACAGAGGACCAGCTGGTGAATACCATCAGGCGCCCGAAACAAAAGAGCAGCCTGCCAGTCTGAGCTGCCTGCTCCTGGTGACGCGCTCCATGTAATCTTCAAGTTGTGGCCCGTAGTTTCGTCCATGAAACTATGCCAAGATATAGCGGACGGCGAGAGGCTGCAGGGACACGGTTGGGAGAATCTGTTCACGAAGATAGCACGATGTGAACCGGTGGTCGCATCGTCCATGAGCCTTTGCCAAGACAAGGCGAAGCATCACGAGCATCCCCTTTCGTCCATGAGCATACACAAGGAAAAGGCAAAGCACCACGAGAATCAGACTTTCGTCCTTTGGGCCGCGAAACTTTCGACTGTTTGAATATGTAAAGACAAGGCAAGCATGACGGTCGCAATCTCTGTTATGACAACATGCAAGAACAAGCCAGTATCGCGGGCATCAACCGGCCGCACTTTCGGCCATGACAACATACAAAGACAAAGTAAGCATCAAGAGCATCAGCATCAGCCGGTCGCCTGTTCTGCAATGGGTGCATGCAAAGAAGAACTGAACATCACGAGCACCACCTGGCTCGCTTTAGTTGTTGGGCTTGCGCCAGCGACAAGCGTTTACCTACGTTCTGCTGTTTCACCTTTGGTTTAAACTTGCACGACCTGCACCTTTGTGTTTACTCTCGCTCAGCCCGGCATGCAGCGATCGGCGACACATCCGCAATTCTAAAGCGAGTGATGGTCTGAAGTCGCACGCACGGATCGCTGCCGACAAGACGACCAAGACTGCTGCACTGCCTAGGGCCTAGCTCTATCTTGTATTATCTTGTGTTGATCCGCAACATCGCAAGACTGACACATGTCCACAAATACTCCCGGCCAGTCGCCTGGACTTGGCGCACGAGTACTGGAATGGCTTCGGCCGCGGTCTCCAGGAATGCTAGCTGTTTGAGCATGAGTTGGTATTTCACCGCATCTCCAGAGAGCATGAAGGCTGAGCCAAGACAGTTTTGAACGACAGGACACGGAGCAGCTGGTGACGGAGGGCAAGTCTGGGATGCCAGCCCAAAAGGCAATCCTGTGCATCCTGCTTGCGCATTTCGATTACACTCGCACAATATTTACTGCATATTATGCAATCAACGGAGTCCTTCGAAGAGGGTCGGTGGCACTGCAACTGCACGGCACGGTGTTGCACCACGATCCTTTCCAGACTCCAGGAACCGCAGCGTCCGAGAGCACTTCCCGCACTTCCGTTCACACCGCTAAACTCAGCGAGGCATGCGTCAGTGACCGGGAAGTCGTTCAGGAATTGTCTTTCAACAGTCGAACTAATTAATTCCCTGTGCAAAGTAAACAATCCCCGATGTCTTGGGCGCATCTACATACTACGTTTGGAAGGAAGCCTCGCAACATACTCTCGCTTCTCAAACTATGGCTTGCATGTGCTTCCAGCCGATGTCAATCACATTTTTGGGTTTAGGGCTAGGACCTAGCAGCGGTTTACACTGAGCAGGATTTTGCTGTGCCAGCGGAGATCCCCAAACACTGAAAGACCATACCTGAAGGATTCCGTTAGGATTCGATCACGACCACCGCGGCGGTGGTTCGCTATGCTTGGGAAAAGACGGGTCGCAAGTTGTTGCCATCAGTGTCTTTCCAGCATTTACAATGCATGTCGGAAACGCAGCAACAGGCCGCACTCCATGGGGACTCCGGCCAACAGGCCGGAAAGCTCGATGGACGGCCGCAGACTCGGAGGCTCAGACGACACGGTTGACACGTGTGTCATGACCCCGCCATAGTCTGTGTGTGCTGTTCACACCATGTGAACCCCAACATCATGAACCTGTCACAGCCGCAGCTGAAGCCGACCGTGTCTTCCAGAGAGAGCCATGAAGCTTTGCCAGTAGACAGGATGCACATCTGATAGAATCTGGCAACATACCTGTAGCCTGTATCTGCACATAGCCTTTCATCCTCCGATGTGTTGTGAAATCGAGAACAAAACCAGAAGCTCACCAAATCAGGAAATATTTGTCGAAAATAATTTAGTTATTGCTGTTGCGTCTGCGTGTTAAGAAAAGCTCAGGCGAACGCAAGCTGCGACCCGCAAGCAGCCTGGCATAGCTTGGCTCCCAGATTGGTTCACTGGAAGCCTTGGTCTGGAGATGGAAAGTTCCATCACTGGGAGATTGCGCAGTATCCGCATGCGTCCATCACGGCAAGCCTACAAAACTAGTTCAGTGAAAGCAGCAAAAAAAGCAAGACTGGAAACATGATTCTAGATAATCTCCACGCCCAACAGAACCTTCGACGGCTCTGGCCCTTTCGATTATCCTCGATGGCCAAGGTGTGGACAAAATGCCATTTGAGGGGCGCCCGCCTAAAGGTGCACTTGCAATGGGATCCTGTCAATTTCACGTGGGCCTCCGTGACGCGTGATTGAACATACCTGCACTCAGTTGTGTTGCTTGTCCAGTCTTGTCGAGTGTCCGGGGCGGCAGAAAACTCTCCAAAGCAGAATGGCACGTCTCGCTTTAGCGACTTGTTGGGACGATTGCCAGAGTTCAAGCGGTTCTCCGAGCTGAAACTGCCATTGATCGGTATTTGAGCGGCCATTGTTCCAGCAGCTTTTAATTGCATGCAAAGTCTTCATCAGTCAGGGCCTGCAACATGCGGGCCCATGTAGCACTTGGCACAAGAAGGAGTCAGGCTAAGCTGATCCGCGTGTGCTTCCAAGTGCGAGACCCTCATCTCCAGCCCGTGGAGCAAAACGAAGTGTTGGAATCTGCGCCGTTTTCAGAGCCTGCGGCCTGAACAGTCGCCCAACCGAACATAGGTTGCCAATGCTTGAGGCCCGTCTTCATGCGGCATCGTCTACCTGGACACAAGGTGCCAGCATGTCCAGCTTCGCTCTGGCTGGGCAGTTCCGCATCTCAGATCTCGTGATGCAGTTTTCGCATGTTTTCGCCCGATGTAGCTTGTTAACAGTTCAACACGAAACCGCCATGATTCATGATCCTGGCTTACCACGACAGTGACACTGATCCCATCTTGATCCCAATCTGCATGACTCGGGTGTGACTTGGAATTGGTGGATAGGTGCATGCACAACAGTTGTCTTAGGTACATCCAGGACCAGGGATCGGTATACGAAGCATCCGCAACTAACCGAGCCCACATTGGATGAAACATGCAACACAAAGAGAGCGCGAGACACGGAGCGCGGCAGCATGCAACGAAACGGGATTAGCAAAGCCGCCGGAAGCAAGGGAGTACACGAAAATTGAGGTCCTAGAAGTCCTTAAGTGCAGATTGGTGTCACGACCCAGCAATCCCTCACTGTCACAATTGAGCAGTCATTTCTCCATTGTCGGTATGTGCGGCCAGGACACGGCATCGTAGTATAGCAAGCTTTCGTCTTCATATTTAGCTATGGTGGGCTTTGGCACCGCATGCGTGTATGTCAATTTTCGGAGACATGCTCTGTCTACCAGAAACTCCTGACTAGCAGAACCTTGTGGAACAGAAGTCCTTGCCTTACAGCAGCTCGTGCTTTAGCCTTTTATTGGAATTAATGCTCTGGTACATGCATTTTGGATCGGTTGTTTCTCTTGCTGTCACAGGCAACTCTTTGGATGCAGATGCTTCACCAGTGGTACGCGGAGCTTCGCTTGACGGAAAACTTGGCATTTATGGTGGTTTGTTAGCTGTGACCCTCGGAATAGAGGTTAAGCGCAGGCAGTAAGACCGGGACAGATTGGAATAGTCGGCATATTTTTAACTTAATAGCTAGAGTAGCTGGAGGCAAATAATCAGCCTATCATTTGGTGAGCAACAAGTAACATAATCTCGAGAATAAGATGCTTTCGTGCATCTACAAAAGATGCGATACGATCGTGAAATGTGCAGAGTATGCTTAACCTTTTTCAAAAGATTGAGAGCGGATGGGTGGTAAATGGA